CGTCTGTGGTTGCTTAGGCATTTTAGAAGTAAAACTAAAGTACACTCCTGAGTCAGAAGGGCGACCGCCAACCAAATGCATACTACATAATTAAAAATATCCTACATAGCAAATATTACAACGTAATAATAAAAATGTACATTCGAAAATATATGGTTAGTTGTATTCTGTGCTATATATTTAACATCCGGTATGTTAAGAAGGGCGTAACGCGCACACAAGAGATTTTGGTGTGACCCTTAGGTAGTAACCACAGACAGTGACACCTAAGAGGTTTGCCTAGTACTGGAATACGGAAAACCGTTAGATAGGTCTAACCCAAGGTGTATTTTAAAAAATCTAAAGGAATGAACAACAGTTAAGCAAGAGCAGAAAGCATGGTACAGTGTGAGTTAAGGCGAAATTAAGTCCTTGGATTCTTTCCATCGGTGCAGCCAACCGAGGATCAGAACACATAAACAAGAATAAAACAAAGTCTCGAAATTCCGAAAGCGTAAAGGTATCATGTCTACTAGGTTGTTCCACTCACAGAAGACTGATTGAGGGTATTCTTTAATATGGATTTCAGGCGAGAATACAAAGTGAAATGGGGCGCATAGATTTCGTTAAGTCCATGATTCTTTGTTATCGCCTTCGTATTGGTTATATGCGGACTGGTTTTCATCATCGGTGAACCGTCGAGGCCTACTGGTCTGACTGAAAAAATGCGCTAATTCTGAAGCAAGGTCAATTGGGAAGTTCCTCTGTTTTGGACATGACTGTGTGGTAGGGAGGTGTCACTCTTCTAATCTTCCTTCAGTATACAGCGAAGACGATCCTTTTCTCGCAGAAAATCTTAGGCGTCGTCGTGTTAAGAACGTAGGCAATTACTTACGGTACAGCCTCGCCGCTGCCTGCACTACATTATAGGGAATGGCGGTTGGTTGTAGCCTGAGGCCTGAGTATTCGGTAGCTAAACCAAATACGCGGTGATTTTTATAGGTGAATTGGATTATGGAATGTAAACCGTGGGGATGGTGGATACTTTTCGGGATATGCAATGTGACCTTGTATGAAAAACACTGCAAGTATACGAAACAAAAAGGAGTATACTATTGGTCCTCAAATGTTTAGGTAATTCTTTTGTTTTGCAAAAGGTTTGTGAATAGAGCATACTTGCAATAAAAGGTGGATAAAAGTATGAGAAGGAATATAGCGAACGTAAACAAAAACGGAAAAACGGACTCTACGTTTGACCAGTTCGTCGCGTCTGTCAGTTGTCCGGAGTTGGGTTGGTGTAGTCCCAAGAGTAACAGAAGGCTACGGAGCAGAGATTACGAAAGGGGCATCCGCAGTTGGGTATCCGGAAACCACTGTACACATTGAGGTTGGAGGCCGGTCTTCGAAGAATGCAACCATTAAACCGTCGAGAGATACCACTGTTCGGTTACTATTCCGGTTTAAGGCAAAGTGCTTAGGAGTATTTTAGCGAGCACTGAAGGGGCCGGTGTAAGGAATTTGACAGAGACGAAGTAACTCGATTGCAGTTAGAGAGTCTGCGATGCAGTTGTACATCTCTGGTCTGCTCAGTAACAGAAGTCAGGCGCAGCGGGCGCATGCGTCGAGACAGGGAAGCTACATAGGTTGTCTATGAAAGACATGCTGGTGAGAGGCCCAGCTGAAGTCTTTTGGTAGTTTACGTTTTGTGACGTAGACCAACTCTGCTATTGTGCACTGCCGGTCAGGTTTGATACTGCTGCGAATACCTAGATATACAAGCGAAGAATTTTCACTCCGGTTGAGGTCCGATGTGGCACAGGGAGATGACTTCAGCTGTTGATTAAAGCGTTCGACTAAGCCATTAATTGTGGTCGAGTGAGTACATCTGCTGTCTAAGTACTTACGGTACGTATAGAGTTGCGAGTTTTCGAAAGGCTTTCCACGGTCGGTTGTGATGGTGGATAGCCAACATTCTGGAAGGCCCAACGCTCCAAAGAAGCAAGTACGTCAGTTTCGGTTGTGCAGACTGGTATGGGTTTAACCTACGATCATCCAGCAAGACGGTCAAAACATGTCAGTATGTATACGAATCCAGGGGAGACAAGGGTCCCATCGGGACTAAGTGTACCTGCCATAACTGCGAATCTAGGGCACCGAACGAGCCGAGATGACTACGCGTGTTTTACCAAGTTGTGCTTGCAGTCAGGACAAGCATAAGAACGGGTACCAACAACACTATGTACTGTTGGCCTAACAAGCGACTTGGTGACCAGTACCAGAAATGAAAGAATACCAGGATGAGAGAGTGAGTAAAGGTTGTCGAAGACCGAAAGAGGCGGGCACTAGGGGAGTACGATAATCTGTGGGCGCGTCACAAATTATAGTTTCGATCGTGGTTTGTAAAGGAACGGATTACCTATGCACTGAAGTGGACTAAAGGGTGCGTTGAATGTTTTCATATTGGGTCTGAGCCAATGACATGAAGGTGTATTTGACAGCAGACAGAGCGAGGAGTGAGGTTGACGCGAGAGAGTATGTCAGCGAGTAGTTTGGCGACGCCTAAGACATAACATTTGTCAGCAGTGCATTGTGTGACAAAATCTAGGTGTCTATTTTTCCCTAGTGAATATTTATCCTAGGTTGAGTCAAAAGCGAATATGAGAGGTTTGGCCTCCGTGTAGACACTGAACGCCTGACCATCTAATGTGCATCGGTAGTGACGGATGACAAGCAGTTCATTGCCTAGCGTGTTGTAGCGGGATTCCGTTGGTTGCAAGAGTTTGGAGAAACAACTGGAAGGTTGCCACTACTCACCTATATTTTGTTAGATAGCAGCTCCTATCGCAACGTTTTGAAGCGTCATTTTTAGGGAACGAGAAGCAGTGGGTTTGGAGATCAAAGTAGACTTATGTTGTGGGCAGCATCCTGAAGCTCGGTGCGAGCTGTGTGTGCCTTATCGAAGAAAGCAAGCTGACACTCCTTTCTTCTGAGAAAGTTAGTCAGCGACTGCCTAAGTGGAGCGTAGAAGGGCATGGAGCGCTGATCGTAATTGATCAGACCTAAAATCCGAGAAAAAGCTCAAAAGAAGTCAGAGATGCACTCATATTTTGCTAACGCTTTTCTAATGATATTTTAGAAATATATGCTTCGAGACGTCAAAATTATGCAATAACTTTTACTTCTTCAAGTGAACATACGGAAAGGAAACCTGTTATTGTCTTAAGTTTATTTGGTTAAGTTAAGCTCATATTACGGGATTCATTGCTTAGCTAACTATAAAATATGTCCGTAATAAAAAACGCTTGCAACAATGGGTTCATAAACTGGATCTTGTCTTAAAGTACCTAACTACCGGACGAAAAGACTAGGTGCCTTGGAATTCTACCATTGACTTACCGTATCTGAAAACATTCGGCTTAGTGCTGATGCTGTATTGAGTCAACCGTTGGAAAACTGATCAAGACTGTGCTACGTACTGTTCATCGGATAAACTGGCAACAGCAGTGTCGTCGAGACAGGGCTAAGCAAAGTCCAAACCATAATCAACGTCGTGTGTGAAGCCTTGAAACGACTGTGAGGTGATGCAAAATCCAAAAAGCATCCATAAAATGTAAACAGGCCAAATGGATTGATGATGGCTGTTTTAGGTATATCGTTTCCCTTAACAATTATTTGATGATAGCAAGAACAAGATCGATCGTACTGCATACCGTCCTACATGTGAGGCATGCAGCCAGTTCCACCAATCATGGAATCGGCGCCTGTCTGGGACCCTGTTTATGTCTGGTGCTTGCTAGTCGACGCACATGGCGTTAGTCTTCGGATTTAGTTAGGAAAATGTAGTGGAGCGCCTTTAGAGCTTTTGAATGACGGATTAGTTCAATTTCCAGGATGTGTTTAAACTCCGTCCTAGCTTCAGTATCTCCGGCGAAAGTCGGCGCGAGCTTGAGGTGACTGGTGAGCGATTAATCCGGATATGATGCAACTTGAGATGCCACTGGCCGAACTGCATGTATTGACTGTAAGAATTTGCATTAATGAAAATTAGGTTCGGTGTAGCCTGGAGAGGTCTTCGAAAATAGGTAGCATGTGGTAATAGCTGAAAGCTCAGCGTTGGTGCTTGCGACGCTCTGCGTCGTTGATGGGTAGAATATTCTCTGTTGTGTCGCATCCTCCAAGAGGTCGAAATACCTGAGAAATTCTACGACGACGATAACAAACCGAGCAGTGTCAATTGTAGATACCCAGCGGAGTGTCCTGCGGAGACAGTGACAATAAGTAATAGGTGTTGGCAGTAGGTAAAATCGAGTGTGGCGTTAGCGGAACTGAAGCTGAGAGTGGACGGCTGAGTCTCCTCTTCAGGTACGGGAGAAAGCACTGAGTTTAAACCCGCTATCGACCAGGAACGCGGTTCCAGTCTTGTATTACTGAATGTATAGAAGGTTAATCAAGGAACTGTGGCAAGTGATACCATTGATAAGTGGTATGCTGTCTGGAACTCTTCACGTATGAATTGTGAGAAATATGCAAGGGGTGGTACATTTCTTTGACTGAGGGAAATGCCGGAGATGCCAGTGTAGTTAGTTGCGTTGCAAGTGGCTGAGCCTGGCTAACTTGCTATCAGGTGCCAGCAAGCTATTATTTCTGTAATGGTATAAATTTTACAGCGCAATGTCTCCAGTTCATTATTAGTACAGTAAACTCT